AAACATTTTAAACTATGCATTTTTCCCGTTTAGAAGTAGGCACGACAAAACAAAAAATACGCGTTCCAATATTTGCATTGAAGACAATTCCTGCCAGGTTTCAGGTTAATACACTAGGGAAAATATTATACATGTGTACTTTCATGCCCCATTTCGAGTTTTGAAAAAAATAATAATATTACAAGCTTTACTATAATTTGCTTCGGAAACTATTAAAATCGAGTTTCAGATTATTTCAGTGGTTTACAATTTCTACTCGAGAGTTACGTTTTCTCTTCACCCCTGTGGTTGAATTTCTAAATATCCTTAGTGCTTACGCTACAAAATGATGACAGATGCTATAATAAATTACAAAGTAGTTTCAAAAAGATTTGTTCTTTTAAATATAGTATAGCTATTTAGATTATGTGTGCACAACACCTAGATGGATATTCTTGTGACGCTATTGAAACGTTGCTATTATAATCACTGTGATGAAAATGCAATAAAAAGGTGTAAATTATATTTAAAGCAAAATATTCGGTAATTATTGACTACTCGCAAATAAAAATATTATTAATATAATCGCTGCCACATATTATAGACTAAATTATTACAAAAGAAATATTTTTCAATTGCATTGTCCTAAATCAACAAACCTGTACTTACGAACTGCATGTAAAATAAAAAAAGTAAGGTCAATGTGCTGCACAATTCCTTGATATAAACTATTTATATTTAATTTTCTTCCACGGTAATAGAAGAAAACAACAATTAATAAAAATCTTAAATCGTAAATTACACCGGAGAACGTACTTGTCGGGTCGTCTTCTTATCGACAGCGTGTCAGGAGATGTTTTAACATCTCATTATTTCTCAAAACTTCAAACTTTTATTTTTAATAAATTGAACGATCTAATGATAACGATATAATGCATTAGTTTTTGTTACTAACATTAGTTTTATATTTCTTTTTATAAATAAAATCATCTGTTTCAATTTTAAACAAATGTCAGTTTATTATAACTTGTAAACAAAAAATAATTTATTATATATTTTACTCAAATATAGCACAATCTTATAAATGATGATTGATTGTACTTTTATGCTAGATATCTTATCAATTTATCTTATACTTTTTGTTATCAATTGTAATTTAGTCTTTCTTATCCATATAATTAAATGTTAGTTTAGAACATACAATTTATTCGTTTTAGGCCAAACGTTTAAGGATAAATACTAAAATTCAAAGTTTAGCTCGTATTCAAACACGTGTAATTTGCTACGCATTTTATCGTCGTACAAGACTTAAAAGTGCTTTTCCACCGGCGAGGCGACACGAGACGAGACGAGGCGAGAATTGGAAACTCGCCGGCCTATTTCCACCAAAAATTGCCATCGCGAGTTCGTGCTATGGTTATGGATAGTAAAGAAACCGTGCTGTTCAATTCGTCTAGCGATAAACACGCGGCTAAAGTACCATATCCCACAAATTCTGATTATTAAATATGTTAACGGAAGAAGAATCACATGAAGATACTGTAAGAAGAAATAATCATGTTGTAACATAAGCTGTTTGTACCCTCTAAGATAAAATAAATAAATAAAGAAATAATAAATAAAAACAAAAATAACTTTTTCGAAATAACTTTTTCTATATAATCTTTTATCCCAGGGCAAATATTACGAACTAGCAAAATACATATAAAAAAGGTTATAACCGGCGCTGGTATGTTTACATTATGCTGCAACTATATTGTGTACATATATTTTTGAAAACGATGCAATGTTTTAAAAGTGGTTAAATGATTATGATAAAATCACAATCCAAATCGTGTACATTTTAATGCAATTATAAATATATAATATGCACTGTATAAATATTTACGAAAATAATATGCATACATGTATGACAGTCTTGACTATATATTTTTCATTGACTGTAGTTTGTTTATTTCTCTCTGAAATAAAAGTATACCTTTTTTAAAATGGTGTCGTGTCTACATATTTTTGAAAACAGCACAAGGTATATTTTTGACATAATTTCGACAATGTGTGAACGTTTACATTTCAATGCACGCGACTGTATCCCACAATCTCAAGATTGACATTAATAACCATCGCGAGCATGCGTGAGCTCGCGCGATATCGTACGAGACATCGTGAATCGTGTTTCCGTTGCAGAGATAATAAAGAGTCTATGTAGGCAGCAATACGGTTCAACGTTACATCAATAAATATTTCAAATCTCGTCTCGCCCATCCTCGTCAATCCCGACCATTTCCACCGAAGAAGCGCTAGGAGAGAATTAATATTTTGCCATACAAGTTTTAAAAATCGTCTCGTCTCGTCTTGTCTCACCTTGCCAGTGCAAATACACCCTTATGTTCTAATTATTCTTTCTGAACCTTGTCTGTTATCAAATCATTAACTACCACATTACATGAGAAAACAAAACAATTTAGTCAAACATTTTATCTAAAAAGTAAAACTAACTTCTAAACTAGATGTATGTTCCTCTTATAATAGGTTACTCGACTGTTATTTCGAAGGAAATATGTAATAGGTTATAACCAACATGATAGAAACCTGAATTCATACATTTTCTTTACCTTAACGGTCTTTTATTAAGAAAGAGTCAATAAAGTAAACGAATCTTTTTTCTTTATATTTCCTATCACGACATTTGAAGTCGAAGATATAATTTTGCGAAAATGTATTATTGGCACTGTATAGTGCCATTGCAAGTGCAATTGTAGTGTAATTAAATGTACAATGTATATAAAAGAACAATTCAAAGTTAGTTTTAATTAAATTTGTACATAAAACTTGAAAAAATAAGTTATATTGTTGTTTGCTCGCAGTTTTTTGTTATCGCTCGGGCATACCGATAACAATTCTTTTTTTTTTTTTCAAAACCACAAACTAGAATTTATGGTGGTCTGGCCCGGTCTTGTTTTCATACAAGTTTTTGCACATTCGCATCCAAGTTAGAGTTTTCTATCAATATGTTGTTTTATTTGCGGTTAAATTCTGCATCATTTATTTTATTTTATTGTATGTGTATGTGTATGTGTATGTGTATGTGTGTGTGTGTGTGTGTGTGTGTGTGTGTGTGTGTGTGTGTGTGT